GACCATGAACTCAACAGACTTGAGCCAGTTACAAACATCTCCAAAGCATATACTTGGGAAGTCAATCTTGCTCTTATTGTTTTACCACCTCATTTTAGGAAGACCACATAAACCATTTCAGATTTCTGACTTGTAGTGAAGCTACAATGAAGCTTAGATCTTCTAACACTGCATTTAACAAAGATGAAGAATATCTTCTCATAATTCTCTAAGAAAACTTCAGACACATGAATATTTTTTCTCAAATCTCTTTCAGTCATTTCTTCCCATGATGTATAAGTTTATTCTCTTAATTTCCCACCAGTCCATCACCACATCACCACAAGCTCTAACTTTACAATATTTTGCTTGACCTTAAGGATGTTTTGTAAATTCTCCAAATTCCCTTTGATTTGGTTTTTACCAAAAGAGTCCAAAAAGACTGGACATGGGACAGAGTTAAGAGTATTAAGTCAGGCCAGGCGCGGTGGCTCACGCCTGTAATCCCAGCACTTTGGGAGGCCGAGGCGGGTGGATCACGATGTCAAGAGATCGAGACCATCCTGGTCAACATAGTGAAACCCCGTCTCTACCAAAAATACAAAAAATTAGCTGGGCGTGGTGGCGCGTGTCTGTAATCCCAGATACTCAGGAGGCTTAGGCAGGAGAATTGCCTGAACCCAGGAGATGGAGGTTGCAGTGAGCCGAGATCGCACCATTGCACTCCAGCCTGGGTAACAAGAGTGAAACTCCGTCTCAAAAAAAAAAAAAAAAAAAAAAAAAGAGTATTAAGTCATAGTTATTACATGGTAAACTGTAATTTATTACCTTTGATATGCTTGTCTTACAGAGTATGATTCTATATTTTTGGTATGTGTATCTACTGTGAACTCTAGATCTTTTTCTTCTATAACAAAAAAATCAGCTCTTTATTTTATATCACAGTAGCTATTTTTTCTCCCAGATTGACTACTCTACATGTGCCCATGTGTAATTTTGTTTCTGACCACGTTTTCATTTATCAGAGTAATCTGAATGGCATTTACTTCATTTTTGGTTTCAGCAATTCCACTGAAGAAATTATTGGGCAACACAAGATCTCTTGATGATGCCTATATAAAATCATTACCCACAGATTTTACTCCAAACTAGTACTGATGCAATGCTGTAGCCTACTGTGAACCCTTCTAAGGAATTCAAGGCCTAGGGATGCTACCCTTTCAGACGTGACATGTCAAACTGTATTTGCTTTCTCTAGGACAGGGAAGAGGGAGGCAGAGTAGATGCCAAGAGGTTTCCATTATGGCTTCTTTCTGGCCTTTGAGAGTTTCCCTAGAAAGGGTCACCATAAGCCATTATCATTCTAACACCTAAAGCTTGCCCTTTTGACCACTATTGAGAGTAAATGGAAAGTAACAATTAGAATTGATAAGACTGGAATAGGAGAGGGAAAGGAGAGTTGTTAGGAGAGGAAGGGATCCCTTGGAAAGGTAGGAAGGAAGACCACATTCACCCATCTGACTGACTGGTCTAGTGCCACCTACGGCCATACCACCTGACCCTCAAAAATCACTGAGCCCTGGCCAGGAAACATTTTTCCAGCTAACTGCAGGTGCCTGGCTTATTTGATTAAACCACCACATTACAAGGTGAAGGTCATATGCTTGATCCCTATGTCCATCAATGGGCACTAACTCCAGCCTGTCATAAATACCATCACTTATGTTAAAGAGATTCACGAGGGAGGATATGAACCAACGATGCAAATCCATCACCATTACTGAAAAAATAACCAGGGAAATCCTGACTTGTAAGTCTGCCCACAGAACAAATTCCATTTAAGAACTCCCTTACGACCCTGGGCTTCAAGGTTAGAGAGATAAGACTAAGAAATCAGGCTCCACTACCTAGCTGTTTTATGTGTGACTTTGGACAAGTTAATGTTTTGGAGCCTTAGCAATAAAACACATTAAGGATCCCAAATAGAGCTTGATATATAAGAGATACTCAGGTTATAGTAGCTCCCGCCCCATCTGGAGATATAATCTGGTAGTCAAGAGCACAGGGATGAAGCCAGGTCCACCTATATCCCAATCTTTTGCAGCATACTAGCCATGAAACACCAGGCAAGTGATGGCCTTATCTTTCTCATAAAGCTGAGATTTAAAAAATAAAGCATTCAGACAGCACACAGCAAACGTCAATTAATGACAGTTATGTTTTCATTGCTAATAAGAAGATAGTATTATCACTATCTGTAAATGTTTTCCAAAGTACAGCCATGGAACTACTGATATCAGAATGACCTGTGATGTCTATTGAGGGGGAAAAAAAGGATACCATGTCCCATCTCAACCTACTCAAAAAAGCTCTCCAAAAATGGTACAGGGTAATGGTCATATCTCAATCAAACGTCCTTGAGATGCCTATGAAAATTTCAGAATTATTGACCCAGCAGGTCTTGTGCTGTATCCTAGTAAATTAAGACTTGTTTTTCAATCCTTATTCTTTACTATGCCAGAAGTGCCCAGTCTGTGGGGTTTTTTGTAATGTGGCACATTTCTGGACATAGATGTCAAACTAATAGGCTCATAATTTTCAGGCTCACTCCAGCTTTTTCCTCGGAATGGTACGGTACTATTTTGACTTTTTTTCTTCTGACCAGAGGTCAGCAAGCTATGGCCTTGATCTGCAGCTAGTTTTGTACAACTCCAACCCTCAGAAGGCGTAAGTGTTAAAAAAAAAAAAAGAAAGAAAGAAAGAAAGAAAGAGAAGAAAGAAGACGAAAGAAGAAAGGAAGAAGAAGTATTAGTAGTAGCGATCAAGACCACACGTTGCCCACAAAGTCTAAAACATTTACTATCTGGCCTTTACAAGAAAAGCTTGCCAACCACTTTGTAGCCTTATAATTAAATGTTTTTCAACTTCAGGTCTCAACACAATTCAAAATAGAAAGAATTGATTCAAATAGGAAATATTAAAAAGCACTGCATTCTGACCTAAGGAAGTACCTGTACTATTGCCAAAGTTTCAGTTGTACACATATATGTGTCTCCTGGATAATGATCAAATTGAATCTGGTTGCAGTCAGAAAGTTTTAAAGTCCTTGGGGTTGAGGCTGGGGAGTAAACAGAGCAATTGTTTAAAAAGGTTAACTTCTTTAAGTCACACTGAGCAATTTTTACAGTAAAGGTGGTTTGGAGACTGTAAGGCTATATAAAATGATCCCTGCTGTTCAGAAGTTAACAGCTTATCTCTTCACTACAAAATGAAAATTAAATCTATTCTGTGCACAATATATTGTTATAATAAGAAAATGGAATCATCAATGGAAAGTACTTCAAATGTATCATACAAACAAAAGACTTTGATTATATTAACAACATATCATACAAAATATATATCAGATCTTTACCAAGTCCCTTGGTTCCTAGTTTTCTCCTTCTGGGAAGAGTCCTTTCTTCCCCTTGGTGTGTGCATGAACATGTGTGCATGCGTCGAGAGCATAAAAGAAGTATTAGACACCTCTGCCCTTTCTGTCATCCGTTACTGGCTGCTGCTTCTCACCTACTTAAAACATGCATTCTCTCATCTTTCTCTTGTTTCTGGTAAGAAAATCATTTGATTCGATTCTTGTGCAAAAACAATTAAGACTATGATTATCCTCTTGGGAAAACATTTAAAAGTCCAAAATTAAAATTGTAAGTAACAAGCTTCACTTTTATCTTCATGGAACACTAATTTCCAGGGTTTCTGGGATTGTTTTAGACAAGCTAAAAATACATTAATTTTATAACCCATTTCAACATGTAATCCCGCAAAGAAAAGAAACAGCTTCCCAGGAGCATACACAAGGAAATCAAACGACACTTTTAAAGGTTTTCATTTTATGAAATACACTGCGGACATACAAACCACAAGCAGTGTAAATAAATAAAAGCTGGTGCAATGGTGCATGCATGTTTGCCTTACCCCACAAAGAGAAAACACTTGCACACTGCACTCCATGGCATTTTAGCTTGGGTTGCCATAAAAATGGGATTTCGGCATGTTGTGTAAATACAGGGGGCTGTAAATGAGGGTGTGTGTCTGGGTATGTTAGGGAAAGACGGGTTGTAAGCAAAAGGGGTGGGACTTGCCAGGAGCAGCTATTTGAGAAAATTCCTTTTTCTTTCCCATTCATTCTTTCTAGCTCTACTGTCTGGCACAGTCCTTACAATTACTCACTGGCTTTTCATTCTAAAGACAACCAACAAGCCTTCAGAACTTCCTACAGTGTTTTTCTCATACACGTTAAAAAAAAATAAAGCACCAAATAATTCAGTATGTGCTTTATATAAAAAGCAAACCATTAACCTGTTTCCTCGTTCCAAAGACCCCAGTGGGTTTCAGACTAATAGGATCCTTTGTTGCACGTCCAAAAATAACACAACATGGTATTGGTAAACTGGAAAATAACAGACAACTCTTATCTAAGGATGTCAGAGCTATTGGCCATAAATTTTGTTCTGCCCCAGTGAGTCCAATTTCAAGCTTCTTTCAATGAATCTACCGTCCTAACAACAGTAAAGCCAATCACATTAAACACCGTTCGCCTTTTCTCTTTCGACATTCCATTAACCCAAGGGCTGAAAGAAGACGCCAAGTGAGCCAGTTTCTTTATGCACAATGGTATCCTCCCAAGCGAAATACCTCCAACCACAGCGAAAGTTGTCTTTCTAGCAGATGCCCACCCCAACCGGCCCAGGCAGAGGGGACAGACGGGCAGAGGAAAGCGTAACCTCCCAGCTCTCCCACCTCCAGAGGAAGGGAAGAGGGTATGACAAGGGAGCAGAGTAGGAAGGTGGGCGAGTGGGAGAGACAGAAATGGATGCTGAGGGGGTGGGCGAGATGGGAAGGTAGGGAAAGGTGGAGAATGCGTGGAGAGGTGGGTGCGCAAAGCAGCAGGATCCGAGAGCACAGCGGGGAGCGGTAGGGGACAGCGAGGGGCTCCGGGGGCGCGGAGGGGGTCCGGTCCTCACCATTGAACGCCCCTGCGTCTGCGGGCGCAGCCTCCTCCTCCTCCCCGTCCTCGGAGTCGGAGTGCATGGGCTCCTCGGCAAAGTTGACCCCCTTGCTGGGGGTGCCGCCCCCGGCAGCGGCGCCCGCGTCCCCCCAGGTCCCTGCCCTCATGGCTGAAGCGCGCGGTGCCTTTGCGCTCGTTCTCCTGCTGCAGGCGCGTGAAGTGCTGCAGCGCGAACTCTAGCAGGTCCGCGGGCTGGTGCCTCAGCACCTCCACCGTGAAGCCCTGCAGCAGCTCCGTCAGTCCCGCCGGGATCTCGATGCTCATCCTGCCTCCTCCGCGGCAGGCGCCCGGGCGCCGCCCTCGCCCCCTCCCCGGCCCGGCCTCGGGCCCCGCGGCTGCCCAGCGAGCGCTGACGGCGCTACCGGCTGCGAGCGCGGCGCACTGGGCCCCGGCGGCCCGGCTGGCCCGGCCCGCGGCTCCCGGCGCGCGGCTGCTCCGTGTGGCGGCGGCGGCTGAGCGAGCGCGGCCCCGGGAGGGCTGGCAGCATCTCCTGCTCCTCCCGGTCCCGCCGCGGCCGCGCCTCTCCCCCGCCCGGTCGCCCCGCCCCCGCCCCGCCGCGGCGCGCGGAAGGGGGCGCGGGAGAGCGCGCACACGTGACCCCCGGAAACCATGGCAACCTCCGCCGGCGGGCGCCGCGCACCCGCTGCTTTGACCGCGCCAGGGCGGAATGCGCTGGCGGGCGGCGCGCCGCGGCCGGGGTGGGGGGGCCCCCGCGAGGCCGCCTCGGTGTCCACCTGTCCGCGAGCTTGCGGGCCACTCGCCCGGCTTCCCACGCAGAGCTGGTGCCAAGCGATTTGTCGTGAAACTTCAGCCTCCACCTTAGTAGTGGCATTTCGTTTTCCTTTTAGAATCTAGTTGCATGATAAGTGTTGTTAATGTCCTTTGTTTGAAGTCTTATGGTGGTACGGGTTCTCTTTTGGACAAAGAAATGCTACCCCATCTTGTGACGTCTTTCTTTTTCTTCCACCACATTTTATCCAGCCTTTTCTCATACATCCTGTATATTATGTTTTGCCTTACTGATGCTATTTCGTTGTACACGCCATGCATTTACTGTTTATTGAGACAAAGGCACCATTTATTGAGAGGTATCTATCGAAGTTAGTTGATCTCCTTCAAATAGGATAGTGCAGGGTGAGGCGCTGATTATTTTAAAACTTTATACTTTGAGTGATTGTAACTTTATCTCCAAAAATTGAAACACTTCGGTATAAAGAAAAATAGAATGACTTATGTTTGCTTTTAAAGTAGAAGTCTTTGACTTTGAAATTAGGCTTACTTTGCAAATGTTTACAGTTTTGAAGTAGAAATAATTTACTTTTGTCAATTAAATACTATTTAAGTACACATACTGCATTTTCTACAATTACCAATAAAATAGTTTAAAGAGCAAGCTCGCTTGGTTATTCTGATTTATCTTCCCACCCACAGAAGAGTAAACACATGACTGGGGAAACCCAAAGACTAGAAATCAGAGATGTAACAAACTAGGCCCTTTTGTAAAAATGGATCTTGATGTTAACCTTTTGTTAATGATGCATCCTATATTCACTCCATGAGCCAATGTATTTCTCTATTTTCATTTCTTAGCAACTTCATAGTAATAATGTTGTTTTTAAATATATAGTAATAAAGAGCTTCTAATTATGTCAAACATTTTAAGAATTAAACTTTTACAAAATATGGTGAGCGCGGTGGCTCAAGCCTGTAATCCCAGCACTTTGGGAGGCCAAAGCGGGTGGATCACCTGAGGTCGGGAGTTGGAGACCAGCCTGACCAACACGGAGAAACCCCGTCTATACTAAAAATATGAAATTAGCTGGGCAGCTTAGGCAGGAGAATCGCTTGAACCCGGGGTGGAGGTTGCGGTAAGCCGAGACCGGGACATTGCATTCCAGCCTGGGTAACAAGAGCTAAACTTCGTCTCAAAAAAAAATACGGTGAGCTTCACATGTCACTGCTTGGAGCACAATGTTAGTGCTACTCTCTACCATGTAAGCATTATTATTTTTATGGATCTGGTAATCTAAGATGCATGTGTATCACTTGTCTTCATTTGTGATAATATTTGTATTAATTATGATTAGCATTGCTCACATGTGGCAGAAAATGCAAAATGCAATAGCTTAAGATAGAATTGTGCTTCTCTGGAATGTAAATGTGGACAGTTCAGGGTTGGTATGGTGCTCCATGATCATCAGGGACCCACATTCCTTCCAGCTCATTGCTCTGTGATCCTGTTTGTGTTTCAAAACGGCTTCTCCAGGGCCAGTTATATTTTAGCTAAGAGGAAAGTGGAAAAGAGAAGGGAAGCTCCCATCCCTTCCCCAAAACATATACTCTTTAAGGACACTTCTAGGAAGTTAAACACACCAATTCCTCTTCTGTCCTCTTGCCCAGAATTTAGTCAACATGACCACACCTGTGGTGTGGCAGACTGCATTTTCAAAGATGACTACAACAGTATCTCCTACAGTGTGGCATGGCCACTATCCAGTAATGAATTGAAGTCTTACTTCCCCTCCCATTGAATCTGAATGTGCTTGTGATTTATTTGACCAATACAGAGCGTCACAGAAGTCAAGTCAACATGACAGAAGCCAGCGCTGAGCTGGATGCCCTGGCTGAAGTCTTGTTCCACAGAATCTGAGAACATGATAAAAAGGTGGTTTTAGGCCTCTAGCTTTTGAGGTAATCTGTTACACAACAAGAGCAACTGAAACACATGGCTATTAGGAAAGTTTGGAAATGTACTCTTTATTTTGAGCAGTCATGTGCCAAGTAAACATTTGGGGATTAAAAAGAACCAAGTCGGATCGGGTGCAGTGGCTCACGCCTGTAATCCCGACAGTTTGGGGGGCCAAAGAGGGTGGATCACTTGAGCCCAGGAGTTTGAGACCAGCCTGGGCAACACAGGGAGACTCCATCTCTACAAAAAATACAAAAATTGGCCAGGCTTGGTAGTACACATGTGGTCCTAGCTGTTCTGGAGGCTGAGGTGGGAGGAGCACCTGAGCCCAGGGAGGTCAAGACTTCAGTGAGCTGTGGTTGTGCCACTGCACTCCAGCCTGGGTGATAGAGTAAGACCATGTCTCAAAAAAAAAAAAAAAAAAAAGTCTGTTGATAATTATCAATCTCTGCCAGATGTCTAACACCTTTTCCTGAGGAATGACAAAATAAAAAGGCACTACTTTTCCAAACATTAATGAGAGCCGTATCTTGTTAATGCCCTTTGTGTTTCCAAATTCATTTGTTTCTTTTTGTAGATTTATTATATGAAGCATGGTAGACAGCTCTCTGTCATTAACCACAATGCCAAGGTTGCGTGGTTCTCATTTCTTTAAGAATATGGAAGTGATTAAAGCACGAAATGCGTAATTAGATTAGATGACCTATATAGTCTCTTTCATCCTGAGAGATTTACAATAGTCTAATACTAAAAGAAGACTGATTGGATTTAAAACATCTTTGCAAACAGGTCTCTGGTAATTTTTATTTCTGTCAGTTGTTAAATCAATAACCATGACCTGAAAAAGTAAAGCTTAGTCCTGATATTCCCATTATGTTAGCATTGTTCTCAGAACAGATGTTCACTTCTCAAATCATATTCTTGCTTTTATTCACTACCACATAACCTTTTTGGTAATATTGTATGATTTCTTTTGCTTTCATTTTCAGAATGTTTCATTTTGAACCTTTTAAACGGTGGCTTATGGGAACCACTTATCTCATATTCTTTAAAAGAACATCACTGATGTTGATTCTTTGGTTGTGGATTTACAAAGCAATTTGCACAAATTTCTAAGAGACTCAGACTGGAAGCAATGGCAAAAGAACCCTGAGAGCTCAGCATTGAAATGAAAAGAGTGCTGCCAAATATGTTTTCACAGCAGGAAATTAAACAGATAGATCAACTTGCTTATATGTAATAGCCAAAAAACAAGACAACAGCAAGGACAAAACCAATGGTTTGGGCAAGCAGTTCAGAATCATAAGTATGACCAATCATTCCGCATTTTCTATCAATAGTTAATGTTTCCTGATGAAGTCTCTGATGCAAGAAATATATACCAACTCAAGAAAAAAAGGAGCCAGTTGAGAGGATACAGGGCCTGTGCTTGCCCAAGGCTGACTGTGACCACCAGCCTCAGTTTTACTTACCTTTAGCATTTCAACAATGACTACAGTTTCAGTGTCTCTGATTCATGTTCTCAAGAGAGAATCAGGCTAGTTGGTCTTGATCTTTTAGTAGATTGCTTGGCCTTGACTGAGGTGGTCTAGTAAGTGTGACCAGTAGAGTGCCAGATAAGGAAGTGTTCAGGTAGTGTAAATACATGATAAGCCCTGCCTCTTCAGCAGAGAGAAAAGTCCCCAACACTGGGGAGTATAAGTGATGTAGGTACCTCACAACATGTCTGCTAGAAGTTAGTCACCTCGTAGCCTGAAAATCTTACAGACATTTGGACTAAGAGTAAGTAAAATGTTTAATCTCTACGTTCAACTTTGCAAAGGATTGCCTCTAGAAGGCTAGGCGTTCTCAAATTTTACCAAGCATCCGAATCACCTGGATGGCTGCTTAAAACACAGTTGCTGGGCCCCATCCCCAGAGTTTCAGAGTTAGTAAGTCTGAGGTGGGTCCCAAGAATTTGCATGTCTGTCAAATAATCAGGTAGGCTGTGGGTCTGGGGACCACACTTTGAGATCCACTATGCTAGATTCACTAAGGAAGAGTTTATATTCATGCTAAATAGGAAGCTGCTTGATGAAACTTTTTTTGCTTAATATCAAAGCATATCTTTGGCTAAATCAGGATGAAATGCATACTCATTATTCTCCTTTAAGGGATCTTGCAAAGTTAAAGAGATTCTAAAAAAGCAACAAAGAATATGTCCTTAAATATCACATTTCATAAATAGAGTATGAGTTTTCTATTAAGGACCAGGTCGAACACAGAAGTTTATCTCTACTCCACTAAAATAATGACTAAAAGAACACAGGAAAACTCAAAGAACAAAAAGAGTGGGAGAAGCACAATAAAAACTAAAAATAATTTTTAAAAGATTTTTATTATACTTTAAGTTCTGGGATACATGCGCAGGACATGCAGGTTTGTTGCATAGGTATACACATGCCATGGTGGTTTGCTGTACCCATCAACCTGTATCTACATTAGGTATTGATGCTAATGCTATCCCTCCCCTAGGCCCCTATCCCTGACAGACCCCAGTGCGTGATGTTCCCCTCTCTGTGTCCATGTGTTCTCGTTGTTCAACTCCCACTTATGAGTGAGAATACGTGGTGTTTGGTTTTCTCTTCTTGGGTTAGTTTGCTGAGACTGATGGTTTCCAGCTTCATCCATGTTCCCGCAAAGGATATGAACTCATCTTTTTTTATGGCTTCATAGTATTCCGTGGTGTATATGTGCCACATTTTCTTTATTCAGTCTATGATTGATGGGCATGCGGGTTGGTTCCAAGTCTTTGCTATTGTGAACAGTGCTGCAATAAACATGTGTGTGCATGTGTC